TTAAAAAAAAAAAAAAAAAAAAAAAAACAATAGCATGATTGTAGTGTCATCTCTATATGATAAATTGCTCTCCATTTTTATTCTTTTTGTTTACGTTATTTCCAAACTTTGTTAAATGAACCTGTCTTGCCTATGAAGTACCCCCCCCAAAAAAAACAAGTCAGAAAATGCTAAATTGAGATTGGTTCCAAGAAAGATGACTGAAATGAAAAAAAAAATTTTTATATTCCCAAATAAAAACCTAATACAATGGAACACTTATACTAGAAATAGAAAGCATATCACATTGAAATAATATCATTATATCCCCCCAATACTGAGATCAAGATGTATCTGCCTTGCTTCCTCTCTCCATATGTGTCTTTTAAGGTCACCACAGGTTAAATGTAAATGAAGGTAGCATGTTACAAAGGGCATAATTGCTACTTTAACATTCAATAGCTTCTGGTAAAAAACTAACTGCAACTACATCATCTTCCAAATAATATATTAAACCTCTTAATTATTCTGAAACATTTTTATGAAAAGTTAATAGGACTTCTACATTGATACCTATTGATAAAATTATTTCAACTACTCTAACGTGCTGAATTAATGGGCCCAAAAAATATAGATTACAAGAGAGCAAAAAAAAGTGAAATTTTCTGAGAAAGCATAAAGCCTACATTAGTAACTACTTTAAAATTTAGAATATGAATTTTTTTTGGGGGGGGGTGGCGATACTGGGGTTTGAACTCAGGGCCTCATACTTGCTAGGCAGGCGCTCTACCACTTAAGCCACTCCACCAGCCCTTTTCTGTGTTGGCAAGCTATTTGCCCACTGGCTTCAAACCGCAATCCTCCTTATCTCTGCCTTCCAAGTACCTACAATTACAGACACGAACTACCCCGCTACCTGGCAGGAATGTGAAATTTGAAGCTAAGCTTTGTTGTAATACAAAAACATCAATAGCACATAAAATTACAAAGAGTTTATAAAGATTAAGAGAAAAAAGTACTCAAAGCAATAAAATACAGAATGAATCAAGGAGAGTTGGTCATTTTTGATCATAAACTGACAATATATCTATTAACTTTACAAATATCCAATAACTATTAAAGACAAGGTAGTGAGCAGCACACACACCAAAACCCATCTTACTTAAAGATAATACTTACAAATTTAACATTCAGTATAGATTTATGTCAAACAGAACTCTGAAGCCAAAAAATCAGCAGAATGAGAGATAACTGTGCATTGCTTAGATTACTAACCAAAAAACATACAATTATTTGAAACATGCTTATTTTGCTGTTCAAGTCAAAAACTCACACTTCCAAGTAAACTTTCCCAAATAACAAAGCAATGTTCCTCAAGCATAGGGTTATCTGTATGTTTTTAAAATTTTAACTTACCGAGTACCATCTGCTTTCCAGCTCACTTTATAGGGTTTCTGCTCTAAAAGTTTAATATTTTGCTTGTCCATGGAAACAGGCTGTGCTCCAGGGAATCCAGACCTTAAAGAAGAACATTCGACTGCTATGATGGCTGGAATCCATACAAAGCAATACATGTCCTAAACCAATCTCAAATGAGTCGCACTTTTATCATAATGTTCTCCCTATTATGAGATTAATTTCTGCTGGAATAAATTTCAATTTTCATAAAAATGCTAACAAAGATCGTCATTGTCTTGACATTTTAGGACATAATAGGGCTCTACATTGCAAGTATTACTCAAAATTACTGGGTGAATTTTGAAATATTAAAACAGCATGATCAAAATAGTAAAGCAGGTATGTTTACAAATCATCTACTTCAGGAGAAAGCTTAAATCATGGTTCAATTACATTACACATTGTAGACACCATTATCTCTACATCATGACACTTCCAACATGACCTAATTCTGCACAGTTGGCAAATTTCTGCTCCAAAGATGCCCAGAAGCAACAAAACAAGAGAAATGTAAGTCAAGATTAAGGTACACTGGGCTGACAGAATGTCTCAAGTGGAAGAGCACCTGTATAGCAAGCACAAAGCCCTGAATTCAAACTCCAGTACAGCCCAAAAAAAAAAAGATTAAGATACACTGGCAAGGATTTAACACAATAAGGCCAGTATTATTTCTCCATTATTTTCATCTTTTAATTAAAATTATTTCTAGCTAATTTATTAGATACAAGCCAGTAATAAAAGTTCTTCAAATTAGGAATTTATAACAAGTAATAATTCTGTTTCCTCATGTTCAAGTTACATGACAATTTTCTGCAATAGACCAAGACCTAAAAGTAACAGACGAGAGCAATGAACTCCCTCCTGAATCCTCTGGTAAATATTTTCAAAGAATGCTAGGGAGCAGAACATATTTAAAGTTGACTTCCCCAGGTTTCTGATTACAAAAACATGAGGCACATTCACACTTTACCTCTTCTTTCTGAATAAACTGTAAGACCAGTCCAAACATTTACCGGCAGCAATAGAACCCAGGACATAACACAAACACTACACTGACAAAGGTAATTTTCTATTGCTTTAGGAAGATATACAAGTCATCTAATTTCAACTCAATTACACTGCTTATCTTGAAAAAAATTTTTGACATCTTTTTAAGCACTAATATGTAAACTTTAAGATGCAAAGAAAGTATGTCGGGCTGGTGAGTGACTCAAGTGGTAGAGCTCCTGCCTAGCAAGTGTGAGGCTCTGAGTTCAAACCTCAGTCCCCCTCCCCCCAAAAGAAAGAAAGAATGTCAATATTGGCATCAATTTTAAGTGTAGCAGAATTTTATTTAAAACTTTAAATTTTTCTTTCTTACCCTTCCCAGCCACAGAATTGATGACACTTCTGCTGCACCTCTCCTAATTTAGGTTGAGTTGTTACTTGAGTTACACCTTTAACAGTTATACCCTCCAAGAAAATAGCACCCTTTAAAAAAAAGGAGGGGGAGAGGGAATTTATTAGAGGTCAAATCCATTTACAAAGAAGAAATAAATCAGTCTATTTTCATCATCTAAGCAAATCAATAAATGAAACAGAAATAGTCTGCCCTCCTGGGCATGGTGGCCCACACCTATACTCCTAAGAATGGAGATCAAGGCCAGGTTGGTTACCGAAGGACTCCCAGATTCAAGAAAAAAATAACAATTTAAAAAGGCTGCTCCAAGAGGTTCTGTAAATTCCCCTGAGCTTGTACACTAGTTTTCCTTAATCCAGCATATAATTTTCAGTATACGTACACAAGCCAATGCTTCCATCATGTTGTCAAAGCACTCTACAGGCAATTTTCAGTAACCATAATAGTAATAGTAACTTATCTTCTGCTCACTGAGCCACGGAGAGTACCTGGCATTTCACAAACATTCTCTCTAATCCATGCAACAACTACAGAAGAACAAAGGAGGCATAAAGATTTGATTTACTCAAGGAGTAAATAACAAAATTTGAACCCAGGCCTATACTGCAGGGGTTAGGAATGTCATTAGTGGGATATGGATTTTAAAAGAACAAGTACCAAAACCTATACCTTTTTAAACTAAAAGGAGTATAACAGCAGGCAAAGTGGCTAAGCTACTGGCTCAAAAAACCAAAAATCGTATGTTCTCCCTCATATGTGGACATTAGATCAAGGGCAAACACAACAAGGGGATTGGACTATGAGCACATGA